GGGGGGGGGGGGGGGGGGGGGAGGTACTTTGGCCTGGGCCCCCAAACCAACGACGGCCGTTAAAATTTATTGATACGAGATTGCTTAACTGAGAATATAATCCTAGATGCGTCAGTGTCGATAATATGCAATAAAGTGCAAAATATTGTAAAATATCGCTTCTCCCGTTTTACAATTATGACGGGAATTTGACCGTACAATTACGCCATTTGCGAACTTGAAGCCGGTTTTCCACTAGGCGGAATTTTCCGCGCGGATCGGAATTTTTCTTTGTCTTTTCTAATTAGTTCCGCCCGAGAAATCACAAGATAAAGAAAAATTCCGCTTCGCGCGGAAAATTCCGCCTAGTGGAAAACGATCTTAAGCAAGGCTTAATCTAGTACGGGGGCAACAACAAAAGATTACGTATTAGGAACATTGGCTATTCTGTTGAGGCTAGGCTTGAAGGATCTCTATTTCTTCATGTCATGTCAGATAGCCAGAGAACAAAATGCTCCTTCAAACCCATTAGAAAACTTTCCTATAGTTCTAATGGATCCTGTCAGGAGCAACATTACATTATTATTCAGCTTACTCCCCTTCAAGAACTCAAACATTTTTCAGAGAACTCAAACATTTTTCTGAGAACTCAAACATTTTTCTAAGAACTCAAACATTTTTCTGAGAACTCTTCAAGAATCGAACCATTTATAACACTATGTTCCTTAGGATCCCGAGATCTCCCAAATACTTAATAACACTATTGTTCATTTGTGTAGAAAAAACTGGAGCTCTCTAAAAAGGAGTGGGAACTAGGACATATCCAGACATTGAAAGAGGAAGAAGAGCGGCGCGCTGGTCCCGAGGACTCGGACGAAACTCAGGAGATCACCTACACCACGGAGGAATCACGACAGGTTAAGAAATCTAAGAATAAATCTTCTAATTCTAGGAAAGAGAAGGCAAATTCTAAGAAACCGCAGGCCAAACCTAGCGCGGGCTCGCAAGGTTCAGTCGCGTCCAGGCCCGTAAGAAGCACAAGGCGTAGCGCGGCCGGAAGTCGTGACAAAAGTTAGGTTAGAGTGAAGAGTGGTGCGTGTGGTATACGAGTGATGGGAGAGTCTGATTGCTGGTGGGCGGATCCCTTATATGTGTCCTTACACCAGGTATAAGGCAGTATCCTATAGCCTTTATTATAAGGTTGGCCTTTGTCGAAGTTGGTGAAAAGTAAAGCGAAAAAATAGCTAATGCAGTGGGCGATTATGGCTTCCTCGATTAGTTGTCATAATGGAATTACTCAGGAGTTGAAAGATGAGAAAAAAACAGTCCAGTTATAAAAACACAACAATTCAATTGGATATGTAAGATATAGCCACTGATCTCATAGTGATCTAGGCAACATACTATTCAATATATATGTCAAACCAACATTTCATTTTGATTGAACATTTAAGTGCCCAGTTGAACAAACACAGGTAAATATATATTACTTAAACCTGGTCTACACTATCAAAGTTTCTGTGATCACAGTAGGAATTTTGCATGGGTAAATTCTAAGTTTTGAAGGATTTGTAAGAAATGTTTGAGGAAGCTGACTCGGTGTTTAACATTAAGTCAGCTCCCTCAAACGTTTCTTACAAATCCTTCAAAACTTAGAATTTACCCATGCAAAATTCCTACTGTGATCACAGAAACTTTGATAGTGGAAACCAGGGTTTAATTTTTTCAAATTCGTGTTTCCCAGGTTTGCCCGATTTTAGGGACCGCCTGCCATGCAGGCTATCTAAACCGCAGCTCATTGTCTTTGGCTCCTGTTAATTCCTAAATGATTAATACGAGACTAACCCCTGTCCAGTCAGATTGGTTACACCAATCACGCGGTTGTAAACTGCTGACCAAAGTCGAAGAATGATTGTTAAAATTCTATGAATTTATCGATTTGTAAAAGTTCTAGAAATTTCCGGGATAAAAATATAGTTTTGCAAAAAACAAAATGTGTGTGTCTTGTTGTGTCTTATTATTCTAGATTGCCTCTTACTGCAAAACAAGTGAAGTGTTTTCTCTTGTCCAACATTGCGTATTGATCCATTCTCTTGGAGGAAACCTAAACTAGATTTAAGTATCCTTGTTGGTCCAGTGTTTCTCCGTAAGGAAACTGGAGTATCCATAGAAAATCACTGAACATTTCAGGAATCAAACCTATGAAATTCGTAAATGTTGGACGAAACGACTTATCCTCAGTTGTTTTGAAGATGATCAAATGCCTATATTTTTGCAAGGTTGTTGGTGTCCAAAATGTCTGTATGGCTTGTTAGGTACATTAGGGAATACATTTATAGAACATCTTGTCAACATGTGATAATACTTCCCCTGATAATGGCTGAAATATAATAAGTGTATTAGAAGAAATGTTATGTCGAATTTTGAATAGCTGAACTCTACGTTTTGGAGGATTCATGTGAAATGTTTGAGGGAATTGACCCGATGTCAAACATTTCTTACAAATCCTTGAAAACTTAGAATTTACTGATGCAAAATTCCTACTGTGATCACAGAAACTTATGTTTCCACAATCTGTAGGCGCGATGGTCTTATACGCAAACGGTTTTTAGGAGAACCAGTCATCCGATTAGGGCTAGATCCCAAGTCATAGCGCGCATATTTCACGTAGGCCCCGATTGTAGAATATTTTGGCACCAGCACCTTGTTGAAATGGTCTGTTCATCACGAGGCATACACTAGGATAATGAGACTAGCAAGCCACACAGGCCTTTTGGACCCCCAACATGGGCCCGATTTATGCGGAACGCTGTCAGTACGAATCGGTAAGAATATAAATGCCGCAGTCGGGCCGATCGTCTGTCAAGACGAACTACCTGCGAAAGTTTGTTCAAAATTTGGATCACATTAGAAGGAGGTTCATTTTTGCTAGATGTTCGAGAAACCTGTGCCAGATCTTTCCATTGATACAGAGGCAGAAATCCTGGTCTCACCGATCTATAGACTGAATTTTGATCACCAACACCACAACTAGAAAGAGCGTCTTCGAATGAGTAAAACTGCAAAGATTGGCTGCTAAATGTTGTAAAATGAAGAAAATATAGCCCTGTGAAGTTGGCAAATTTTATGTATATTTGTATTACGCGCGGTAAAAATAACCACTTTCGGCTCAAAAATGGTTATTTTTCCCGCGCGTAATGCAAATCTATACAAAATTTGCGAACTTCTTATAGCTATGAAGGTCGTAACAGCCTTCATACCATTTTCCCCAGCTAATTTCAGTTTTATCAGTTCATGAAACCATGGTATTATTCTTCAAAATACGTATTATTCTTCACGAAAACTTCTTCAAAACACGTATTATTCTTCAATAACCCTCAGACAAAAGAGTTCTCACTCCAGATATATGGAGGTCACTGCCGTTCACCCCATGCAATTCCCATGTTTAAATGTTTAATCCGTTCAGTTGCATTGCGCCCTATTTTGTTCTTTTACTCTATCTAACGCCAGACGGTTTTACCCGTCAATGGGAGAGCGCTGGCACTCGATGGGTTAAATTATTCTCACTAATACTCTACTTGACATGTGTTTTCAAAGGAATTTGTGGACGAGGTCACTGGTGAAGAAATGCCGGTAAGATTTTGTCATACCATATAAACAACTGTTGTGTTTGGTCTTTGGTTAAAAATAAAAATCCAATCTGGGGAAAATTTGTTGAAATCGATTTCAAAGCACGTCGCTTTTGCTCCGTGATCAGACATGAGTTATAAGTTGGCTGCCTGGGGCGCTTATTACAAGTGTAAATGAGATTTTAGACAGCCTGCGACTCGATCAGGTCGAGCTGTGTTGATTTACTACTATAAAGTTTGCAGCAAAGTTTAAGACTGAACTTAAATGCATTCACAGAAGGGTGGTTCATATAGACTTGGTAGCTATATGTGTTTATATCTTGTAAATATACTGCTAAAGATGAACCGAAATTGTTCGAAATATACAGTTTTTAAATAGATTGTGAAGAGTGTATAGACCTTTCCCCTTTTAAGTGAGATTTTGATCAAGACAAGTCTGGACAAAACTTTCATCACAGCTTGAAAGAGCATCACAAAATTAGTAATATTCCTAAGTTTCGTTGCGAAATGTTGTAAAATGCGGATAATATAGCCTTGCGAAGTTTGCCGTTTTTCAGTCATTTTGCATTACAAACTGGAAATTGATAATCAGTTTGATCATCTGATTATCAATTTCCCATTTGTAATCTAAATGGCTGAAAAACGGCAAACTTCGCAAGGCTATATTATCCGCATTTTACAACATTTCGCAACGAAACTTCGGAATATTACTAATTTTGTGATGCTCTTTCAAGCTGTGATGAAATTTTTGTCAAGGCTTGTCTTGATCAAAATCTCACTTAAAAGGGGAAAGGTCTA